GTCGCTCGACCAACGCACAAAAGCAGAACACAATAATATCGGAACACAAGGACTCAACAGACAGTGGCTAACGTACTTCACAGCGTACCATAAATCCTTTGACTGATGCACTATCCATAAAAAACACACTCGGGGTAATGCACCATCCACGAACAACATTCCCACAGAACGTTCCTTGCTGTTCTGATAATTTGTGGCTGCTCAACGATCTTCAACGCAGACAGTCCCGTAATGCAACCTGTCCGATCAAGTTGTTCTACGTCACTCTGTCGTCACACACAGCAGCAACTATCACGAACACATACCTCTCCAGGTGTATCCTATCTGCGTCCTACGCAACGGCTACTTTTGGCTTGTCTACTCCTACGTACGAACAGTATCAACGAAAAAATACCGTGGAAGAACGCCGAGACCGTTGTGGTTCACGGGAAAGTTGCTGTGCCTGTATTCAACGAACACGAGGGCGCGTTTTTTGTTTTTCTCTCCCTGCTGCAGGGCTTGCTTGCTGCGAGGGTCGTAGCCTTCTTTTTTTTGGGCCAGGGGGGGCGGGGAGGTTTCATTTTTATAGTTGGGCATGGTTGAGTCAACGTCTTCGTCTTTTCGTAGCATCATTTTTTTTAGGATACGTGCGCCTTCGCAGAGACGTGTGGGTTGTTTGGTTGGCAACAACACTTTGAGAGGATGCCTTGCGGCAACAAAGGAGTATCAAGGATAACATGGTTGAAGAACGCCGAAGACATTGCTGTCCTGAGGGTAACCTGCCGTGCCGGCAATCTGCGGACATGCGTATCGTTTGGTGTTTTCCTATTTGCAAGACTTGTTCTTGCAACCCAATACTACGTTGGGTGTTGGCGGGAACTCTGAGGCACGCTTGGGTTCCGCAAGTGTGGAGCTTGGGAATTTTTCCCGTCTCCGCGCATGCTCACTTGAAGCGCAGGAATGTGTTCGCGATGGGATTCGACAAGACCCCAATTTTTAGCGTGTGTGTGGGTCTCCTTCAGGTCTGCAACCTGGAGCAATGTTCACCCACGCGACGAATATTTAATGCATGGATGCAGAGACATCATTAAAAGTTGTATCAACGACAACAACGTTTTCGATTCACACGCTCCTAATTAGGAAAAATAAAAAGTCGAACATGCCAACACTTTTAATGCCCTAGGTAAAACAAGCACCCTCCGAGACCTACCGGACCCCGCTTTCATCCGCACACGATGCATGTTAACCATAAAGTG